GTCACCGATATATTAAAATCAAATAAAAAAATAGACAACTCAAAAGAAGGCAGGAAGGAACAGACAAACAAAATACAGAGGGACAAAAAGAAAACAAATAGTAGACCTAAAATAAAAATAATAGACCTAAATTCAACCATATCAGAGTTTATATTAAATATAAATGGTCCAAACATACCAATTAAAGATGAAGATTATCCTACTGGTTAACTACAACACCACCCAAGACTATGCTATTTGTAAAAAACAAACAAACCCACTTTAATAATAAACACATAGATGGGTTAAAATAAAAGGACAGGAAAAGCTATACCATGCAAACAATAAGCAAAGGAAAACTTAAGTGGCTATCTTATATATCACACAAAGCAGACTTGAGAACAATGAATATTACCAGGGATAAAAAAGGACATTACATAACAAGAAGCTCAATTCATTAAGAAAACATAATACTCCTAAATGTACATATACTTAACAACAGAGCTTCTAAACATCTTAAGTAAAAGCTGACTGATGTGAAAAGAGAAATAGACAAATCTACAATTATAGAGAATTTAACACTCCACTCCTCTCTCAAAAATTAACACAACAAGTAGACAAAAAATCAGTAAGAATATGGAAGACCTAAATAACATTATCAACCAACTTGACTTAAATAACATACACCAAACACTCCATCCAACAACAGCAGACTACACATTCTTTTTAAGTGCACACAGAACACCCAATGACATGCACCATATTCTGGGCCAAAAAAAAAAAAAAAATCTGATAAATTTAAAAGAATTGAAATCATACAAAGCATACTGTTTGACCATAATGAAATTAAACAAGAAATCAATAACTGAAAGATATGTGGATAATCCTCAAGTATTTGGAAATTAAAGAACACATTTTAAACAACTTGTGGATCAAAGAAATCACAAAGGAAATTCTGATTTGAGTGATATGTTATAAAGATACAACACATCAAAATTTGTAGGTTGCAGTACTTAGAAGGAAATTTAAATTTATGCCTAACAGGGGCACCTGGGTGGCTCAGTTGTTAAGCATCTGCCTTTGGCTCAGGTCATGATTCCAGGGTCCTGGGACAGAGCCCCACATCGGGCTCCCTGCTCCGCAGGAAGCCTGCTTCTCCCTCTCCCACTCCCCCTGCTTGTGTTCCCTCTCTCGCTGTGTCTCTGTCAAATAAATAAATAAAATCTTAAAAAAAAAATTATGCCTAACAATACTTAAAGTTTTAAAAAAGTGTTTCTAGTCAATAGTCTAATATTCAACTTTATAAAACTAGAAAAAAAGAAAAATAAGTCCAAAGTAAGCAGAGGAAGGAAATAATAAAGAACACAAATAAATAAAATTGAGAAAAGAAAATTTAAATATATAAGTGGTGTTATAAAAGATCAATAAATTAGAAAAAGACATAGGCAGGTAGACTCTACAAAGGCCAGCAATGATCCCCACCCTCTTGTTTTTCACACCTTTGTGCAATTCCCTCTCCTTGATTGTGGGCAAAACCTGTGATTTGCTTCTAACCAACAGAATATGGGATGTTCTGTTCTTCTGCCTTCTCAGTTTATACGCTCTGATGAAGCAAGCTACCACACTGCAGAGGCCCACATGACAAGGAATTGAGGGTAGATTATGAACTTTGCCAACAAGCACATGGTTTTGGAAGTAGATCCTTTATCAGTCTAGTATTCAAACTGAGACGCCTACCTCTGGCCAAGACTTGAGTGCAGCCTTACGAGAGATCCTGAAGCAGAGGACCCAGCTAAGTCATGCCCGAACTCTCCAAATTCTGACCTGCAGAAACTTTCAGATAGTAAGTATATGCTATTTTAAAGTCACTAAGTTTGTAGTAAACTAGCTATGAATATACAGATTATGAAGACTTAAACTTTGACTCTTACATAATTCACACAAGAATTAACTCTACGAACTTGTTATGCAGCAATACGTACGTACCTGATCTAAGAGTGAAGACACAAATTACCAATAACAAGAATGAAAGTGGAGACATTACTACAGACCTTACAGAGAGTTAAATGATAATAAGGGAATATTATGAACAACTTTATGCTTATACAATTGGCAACTTAGGTGAAACGGACAAATTCAAAGACACAAACTGCCAAAGCTTGTTGAATAGTCTTGTCTGTGTATGTGTGTGTGTGTATAAAGGTACAAAGATGCACTCTCTCACATGTTCTCTCCCTCTCCCCCTTCCTCCTCTCTTCTTCAGTTTGTTTTAAAGAAATTAAGTATGTAGTTAAAAACCTCCCAAAAAAGATGCCACAGCGTGGTTTTGCTGTGTAATTCTATGAAACATTTTAAAGGAAAATAATACTAATTCTACACAAGCTCTCCCAGAAAAGTGAAGAGGAGAAAACACTCCCCAACACATTTATGAATATGGCATTACCTTGATACAAAAACAAACAAAAAACATTATAAGAAAACTACAGACCAGCAAACTGAATCTAGTACTGTGCAAAAGGCTAATACATTATGCAAAGCTCATTGAACACACAAAAATCAATTGATGCAGGGGTGCCTGGATGGTTCAGTCAGTTAAGCGTCTGCCTACAGCTCAGGTCATGATCCTGGGGTCCTGGGATCAAGCCCCGCATCAGGCTCCCTGCTCAGTGGGGAGCCTGCTTCTCCTTCTCCCTCTGCCTCCCCACCTTGTACTCTCTCTCTTTCGTTCTATCTCAAATAAATACAATCTTTAAAAAAAAGTCAATCAATGCAATTCACCATTTCAACAGATCAAATAAGAAAAACCATATAATCATCTCAATAGATGCAGAAAAAAATTCACTTGACAAAATTCAACATCAATTCATGACATATACTCTCAGCAAACTAATAATAGAAGGGTATTTTCTTAACCTGGTAAAGGGTACCTACAAAAAAACCTACAGCTAATATCATACTTCGTGGTGAAAGACTGAATACTTTCTCCCTAAGACTGAGAACAAAGCAAAGATGTTCTCACCACTCCCATTTATTTATCATCATACTGGAGAGCCTACAGTGAGGAGAGAATACAATATGAATATAAAATAAAACGCCTACAAAAAAGAAATAAAAATTATCTCTGGTCACAGATAACAAGATTAGCTACATAAAAAAATTCAAGGCATCCACAAAAAAGATACTAGGAATTTCCTTAAAGAACTATAGGGAGGGATGATGACATCTGTATATAGTACCATTTAACAGAACTGCATGGCTATTTCTAACCTGTATGAGATCAGCATTCCCCTATCCCCTTTTCCTTTGGAAGATTCTAGAGAGTGAATATTTCTTTTTCATAACTGTGACTATGATTTGCTTTTATTCTTCCCTGCCTTACTACTCAGTTATCTTCATCTATCTTCCCTTCCTCACCCCCGAGGTTAGCGTCTACAGGAAAGAAAAAAAAGAGCAAAGTTTATTCTACTTTCCTCTTTCAATTAGATCCCCTCAGGGAAACCAAAAGTAGCACAGTCATAATAGTAACTTCTTGGCTACAGAGAGTCATCTAGATTTAAGGGGAACCGGGAAATCATGCTATCTTTGCCTTTTTATCACAAGGTGAGTCTCTCTCTTCGGGTGAGAAGCAGACCTTCGCTGAAGAGCAGAAGATGCAAGGGGATGGAAGAGATGATGCTAAGATGGATGCTGGGAGGGACAATGGGGTAGAACAGGAACAGGAGGTCCAAGTAGCCCCCATGAGGCACAAAAGGATTTAGAACGGGAAATGCTTATACTCTCATTAGCCCAATTCTATGGGGACTGGAAGCCGGGTCATTGCAGGCTCTACAGTAAACATAGAAATCGACAGAGAATATTCCTCCAGGTGGGGTTTGGGGAGGCTTTCATACACACAGATTAGAAGAAGGAGACACTGTTAGTAAGGGAAACTCTGAAGTATATGTTTTTCTAAATAATGCCAACAATGTGAACATCTGATGATGCTAGGGGCCACTTCCAGTGTCATTGGGTGTGAGAAACTGCATCATTTCCCACACATCGCCACCATCCATGTGCTGTAACCTTTCAAAGGATGCCATGTCAATAGAAAGGGTGGTTCTTTAGCTTTTCCACTTATTCTCATCCCCATAATGGTCATCTTCAGTTTATAAAGGAATAATCAAGAAGAAACAAGCTCCTTTATTCCTCTTTCTCCCTCCCGAATCATTGGTTTTGATCCTTGGACCTTAATTACCTGTCACCAAATTTTTAAAGAAATGTAAACGAGGGCACCTGGGTCGCTCAGTGGGTTAAGCGTCTGCCTTCCACTCAAGTAATGTTCCCTGGGTCCTAGGATTGAGTCCTGCATTGGGCTCCCTGCTCAGCGGGGAGTCTGCTTCTCCCTCTCCCTCTGCCTCTGCCCCTGCTCATGCTCTCTCTTAAATAAATAAAAATCTTTAAAAAGAAATGTGAACGAGGATGAGGTGGATGGAGGTCGTGATTGCACATGTCTGTGAAGGCTGGACAAGACAAATGCTAGAACGTGAATATGAGTCAAACCAGCCAATGTCTGTGGAAATCACCACATATATTAACTACTTTAAGCAGTTTCATTAACTGACTCTCCAGCTGTAAATATCCTAGAACTCTGCTGAAATAGTTTATTTCACTTAAGACCTAAATGCTCTAAGAAGCTTCTACCATAGCTACTGCCTCGAAATGATTTAAAAGAAACTTGTGTTATATTAAAAATTTGTTTCTATTATTTAGTTACCCCAATTTACTTAATACATTGTGATGTGTTTGCTATCCCCCCTCCCAGAGATCCCACTCAAACGTCAATACCATTCTCCACATATCTCTTAAGTCTCATGAATGTCATATGGATACAAAAGACTGAAAATGTCATTGTAGAGACCACACAAAAGGTATTCAAAAATGAGATTTTCTTTGGCTTGAAATCATCAAGCACCATGCTCTTTGAAGTTAAATACTTCCTACCTCAATTGTTTCGTCAGAATTAACACAAAAGGCACACTTACCAACCAGAACGACAAGTCTGTATTTTTCGTTCGTTTGCCGCCGATACGGTGTCACTTCCTCATATGTGGGTACATCAGCTGTGTCGTACTGGTCACTCTTCTTGCATTCATACATGGACTTATTTGTTTTCTTATCTTTTCTACTAAGACGGAAACTTCTCCTAAACCCAGCTGCAAAAAAACATATATATATATATATATATATTTAGTAATAAGAACTAAAGAAAGAAACCCCCAAAAACCAACAATTAAAAAACCTTCAAAGTTGGATTGGATTTTACGAACCCAAATATTGTCACAGTACATTTAGAAAAACACCTAGATACTACACAATTTCATTAAAACAACCATTTACAAGAGAATCCTTGAACATTTATTTTTATAGTTATATTAATATACATTTTATTTGGTTCCAAACCATAAAGAATTATTCTCTGAATTCAAAGAGTAAAATAACCACATAATAAAGCAAAATAAGTTGGAAATCATAGTTTATTATGGACTGACTGAACACAGTTGATAAAAAGTTAAAAGCACTATAGAAACATTTAAAATATAAATGCTGAATCCTCTCATTCATAAATACTAGAATATTTTATATTGTATTGTAAGCACAACCTAACAACATACCTGTGGCACAGACAAGCATCTATTCTTAAACAAAAAGGAAACTAAATTAGGGAGAGCTCAGTTTCAAACATGCCAAACATGGATCAGGCCAACAGAAGAGCAAGTTCTTTGGCTTTTATGAGACTCCAGTGTGGGTTGGGGGTGGGGGGGCATAAATGATCAAGTCCAGGTTCTTGTTCTCCTATGGAAAAGTCCATGGCTTTACACTTTGAAGCCTACTGAATTTTGGAAATAAGATTCATAGTCTCACGTGTATACTCTTATCAACACATCATATGATCTCTTCCTAAAATAACTGTACAAGTACTTCAATAAATTTAAATGCTTAAAGCTCACAGCTGTCATTTAACACATGGGCTTAAAAAGCTGAGGCAAAGGTTCTTTTTTCCCATCAACCCCCATTTCATTCGGCTTGCTCTTCATGTTGTTGCACTGTTTGGGATTTATTTCCTTTCTAGTGATGTTTATCACACACAGTATGATTTCATCCATATATACACACAGTATGAATTCGGTAAGACGTGCAATCAATTTTCGACCTAACCAACCCTCAAAATCCAGACTTTAAGGAAAACTGTTCTGGTTATTGAAACATTATATATATTCATATCAGCTCCATGGTACAAAGCAAAATGCAAGTACATTTTTAAGTATATAAAAATATATTCTCTTGGAAAAGAATTTTTTTTTCTTTTGGAAAAGAATGTAGATCAACTGTGATAAGTGGAAAAAAAATTTTAAATAGAGGTATTTTATTAAAAAAATGCAAGAATGTACCTCTGAAACAAATAACACATTATATGTTAAAAAAAAAAAAGCAGGAAGGGAAAAATGAAGAGGGGGAAATCAGAGGGGGAGACGAAACCATGAGAGACTATGGACTCTGAGAAACAAACAGGGTTCTAGAGGGGAGTGGGGTGGGGGGATGGGTTAGCCTGGTGATGGGTATTAAAGAGGGCACGTACTGCATGGAGCACTGGGTGTTATACGCAAACAATGAATCATGGAACACTACACCAAAAACTAATGATGTAATGTATGGTGATTAACATAATAAAATAATTTTAAAAAGTCAAAAAATGCAAGAATATTAAAACTGATCTGTGTGAATTTTAGGGGCCAAAATGAAAAAAAATACTACTACTGCATTTAAGAAATTAACAGGATTCAAAATAAAGGCCAATATTAAAAACAATTATCAGTAACCATGGAGTTATAGCACTCACCTTATGGATTCACAGTTTAATAAAAATCAGCCAAGATACTAAGAAGAGGGTGATACAAGGTTCATCTGATAATAGAATTTTGTAGCCCACCACGAGTCATTCTGATTTTGAGCAGGTACGCAGATTATTTGAGGGAAAAGATTTACAAAGGATTTGAGACGAGAGTTCATCACTCTAAAGCTCTCGTATTGAAGGCAGAAGGCAAAGAGGAAAAGGAAAACAGGCCAAGGAATAAAACACTGATATCTCTCCAAGAAGGACGAGATTCAGAGGAAGCAAATGGGGACTGTGCCCGCCTGGCCCTAGGATGAAGAAGTGTCAATTTTAAAACCACTCAGGCAGGCAGAGTTCAAACTTCTATATAAAGGGTCAGAGGGAAGCTGTTTATTATTATTTTCTTGTGTTTTTTGGGATATTGGGAAAGACTCACGAGAATGCCAGAAAAGGGTTCCCCTACATGGGAGTCCTCGCAACGCCAACCCAGAAGTGGGGGGATCCTTACAACCACTCCTAGTGCTTGAACGCGTGCTTCTCAGACAACTCTCTCTTACCAATCTGCATCAGTGATGCCATCCCAACCCCACCCCAGCTCTGTCACCTGTAATGGCTGGCCTACTCCGGAATCCATCATAAGATGGCTTCCGGTTTGGCACAAAAATTACACATTAGCTATTCTAACTCTCTGATGCTGGTATTTCAGAGTGTTCAGATTTCAGGTTCCCACGGTTCTTGTCTCATGGAAGGCAATTATAGGATAAGCAGGTAGAACTGGAAATTTCCTCACGGTTATTCTTTTCATGGAAGGAGGGTTTTCCTCAAGTCACTACAAACTTATGGCCCAGGAATGAATCTAACCAGGATAGAAATATTTCATCCAAAGCAAATGAAGTCCAAAAGTAAACACCTGAAAAATTTCTGAGCCACGAATCCCAGCTAAATCCTGAATTTCAGTGCAAGTGTACCTAATTGAGTTTTTTTTTTTTACAATTAACTTAAGTTTTTGCTTTCATTAAAAACGAAGAGATAGTGGGGAAAAGAGTGAAGGTAATCAGATGTCTGATGTGAGATTGTCTGGACATCAAAGATGGGGACCATGGCCCATAGGATGGTTTGGTGATATTTGTTGTCCAGTGCTTGGTACAGAATAGGTGCTTGATAAAAGTTTTATAAATTCAAGTAATTTAAAAAGGCCAGAACAAAACCCTACTTCACCTCTCTTTCATTATCTTACTGTAAATTTCAACAAAGAAAGCAGGGCACATTTGGTATTTTCACAAGAGAAAATTCTAAGAGGCAGGCCTAACGACAAAACATGGCATACACAAAGGCACAGACCTGGAAGGAACTCTGCAGACCCTCCTGGCCCGCAACATCTTTGCTCCCGGCCACACGGATGGCACAGATGTCACACACCTGCCCATGCACCGTGACACGGTCCTGATCTCATTCATGTCACTATTCCAGGTGGCAATGACTGAGCAACTAGAATTCCCACAGGCTGTGAAGCTTAAGTGTCCTGACCCAATATGCTCACTTACAAAACTAAGGAAAAATGGCTGATCACCACACCACGTCGATTAGAGCAGCAATACTGAGTGTTAAAAATTGAGGACCAGGGTGCCTGGGTGGCTCAGTTCGTTAAGCGACTGCCTTCGGTTCAGGTCATGGTCCCGGAATCCTGGGATCGAGCCCTGCATCAGGCTCCCTGCTCAGCGGGGAGCCTGCTTCTCCCTCTGACCCTCTCCCCTCTCATGCTGTTTCTCTCTCTCTCTCAAATAAATAAGTAAATAAATAAAATCTTAAAAAAAAAAAAATCGAGGATCAGAGGCGCCTGGGTGGCTCAGTCGGTTAAGCATCCAGCTCTGGGTTTTGACTCAGGTCTGATCTGAGGGTCGCGGGATCCGGCCCTGCGTCAGGCTCTGCGCTCAGCGACGAGTCTGCTTGAGATTCTTTCCCCCTCCCTCTGCTCCTGCTCCCCCTCACGCGCTTGCTCTCTAAAATAAATAAAATCTTTAAAAAAATTCTGAGGACCAGAGGTGGCCAGGTCTGGGTTAGCATCTAGATTCTGACACCAGCTGTATGATTTCACCAACTTTTTATAAACTTCTCTAAGGCTCATTTCTCAACTTTAAAATGAGGATAAGAATATCTACCTTACGCGGTTGTTAAGGATTAAACAAACAATTCACATAAAGCATCTGGCCCAGTACCTGGCATATGGTAAATACCTACAATTAGCTATAGATTAGTACTTGATTATGTCTCCAACTAACTGAAAGTACCTGGAAGGCAGGAATATATACCTCCTTGTATTCCCCCAGCATACAGTCTCACAAGAAAGGGAAAAATAAGGGGCTTATTCATAAGTGTTTAAATGGCTGTTATAAAAGAACAATATTTAAATATAAAGAATATTAAAATTACAGCCAGATTTAAATGTTAAATATTAAAACTACCTATTAAAGTAGTAAAGCATTTTAATGAATCACAACAGAAAAATTTAGTATGCACTATCCTTTCACTTTTTTTTCTCCCCAGATACTCTAAGGATATATGTTATTTCTGGTACCATATTTAAATTTAAAGAGCCTCCTTCCTTTTGTCTTCTTACTTATCATGACCATATACTCTCCTGATCCACAGATCCTGTTTACTTTCCATATTTATAGCACTCCATACACATAAGTACACAGGATAAAAAAAAAAAAAATCCTCAACCCAGAGGAACCAATAAAACCAGAACAGAGGATATGACAAAAGGCACAAAATTCAGAGTACTTGCTTGTGATGGTTTCTCAAACCAAAACAACAAAACAGGCTGTCTTCCTAGAATCTGTCCTCCACGGGAAGTCCGGGATGATAGCTCATTTGGCGTGCCGTTCAAGGCTCTGATTTTCAAACCTGGGTCACATAATGAGCTATGTGTCAGCACACACCTTGGTAAGTTTAAGCTTAAAGGAGACTTAACTCTGTGTCTGCAAGAGGCGATTTCTTCCCTTCAGCTTTTATGTGGTTCTCTTATTAAAAGGAAGATTTAAAACTGTATACTTACACTGAGCGTAAGCAAAGGGTTCATTCAGGTAAATGTGAATAAATAACCCAGAACCTACTGAATCCCCATTCATTTTCAATGCACACGTCTTACCAAGAGCTGGCTTTAAAAGAAGGGAAAAGGAACGGTAACGAGGAATTTGGAGTAAGGGACAGTTTTACACAAAATATATTTTTCCTTATATTTCACATTTTTGTAATTTATAATTGGCTCAACATTTTTATGGACAGGGTTTTTCCAGTGAGCTTACCCACAGCTGTTAG